TCAGGATGAATTTAAAAAAAATAAATTACTTAAAGTTGAGAATCTAAATCCCAGAAGCTCTAGACAATCTTCTGTTTCCTGTGAAATCAGTGAGTGTAGATATCATAATGCATTTCCCTGTCTTCTCTCCAAGGAAGTGAGGAAAGTGTTTATACATCTCCTTTGAGCGCAGAAGGCAGAAAACTATGCTTTGCCATGTATCCATCCAGCTCAGGATGGATCCTTGCCACGATTCATTGGACTATGCAAAGGAAGTTTCATAGAATCACAGAATGGCCAGTTTTGGAAGGGACCTCAAAGATCATGAATCTCCAACACCCCTGCCACAGGCAGGGTCACCAACCTCCCCATTTAATACTAGACCAGGCTGCCCAGGGCCCCATCCAACCTGGCTTTGAACACCTCCAGGGACAGGGCATCCACAACCTCTCTGGGCAGCTGTTCCAGCACCTCACCACTCTCCCTGTAAAGAACCTCCCTCTGACATCCAACCTAAATCTCCCCTCCCTCAACTTAACAGCAGGACAAGAGGAAATTATTTTATCTACCCTTTCAAAGGGTTGATTCCCCTCCTGTTTGTAGGCTCCCTTTAGGCACTGAAAGGCTACAATGAGGTCACCCCACAGTCTTCTTTTCTCCAGGCTGAACAAGCCCAGCTCTCTCAACCTGTCTTCATAGGGGAGGTGCTCCCGTCCCCTGATCATCTTTGTGGCTCTCCCCTGGACCCTCTCCAACAGCTCTCTGTCTTTCTTGTACTGGGGCTCCAGACCTGGACACAGTACTGCAGATGAGGCCTCCCAAGAGCAGAGTAGAGGGGGACAATCACCTCCCTGTCCCTGCTGGCCACCCCTCTGCTGATGGAGCCCAGGATACCATTTGCTTTCCAAGCTGCAAGAGCACACTGCTGGCTCATGTTAAGCTTTTCATCTATTAAGACCCTGAGGTCCTTCTCTGCAGGGCTGCTTTCAATGACCTCTCCTTCCAGTCTGTATGGATGCCTGGGATTCCTATGGCCCAAGTGCAAAACCTTGCTGTGTTGAACCTCATTAGGTTCACCCAGACCCAACTTGCTGTTGAGGTTAAGTTTTTAGAAACATACCACAGACCTCAGATCACACTGACCTTAACAGAAATTGAACATCGCTATGCAGCACAACAGAGCTCTGGATATATTTGAAGACAGATAAACTTTCAGAAAAAAAAAATATGGAAATCATAGAATGGCCTGGATTAAAAAGGACCACAATGATCATCTAGTTTCAACTATGTGCAGGGTCACCGGCCACCAGACCAGGCTGCCCAGAGCCACATCCAGCCTGGCCTTGAATGCCTCCAGAGATGGGGTGTCCACAGCCTCCTTGGGCAAAAATTCCTGGAATTTGTGCACGACTTTAGCAAATGATGTCCCAAAGGCTGCCGCTCAGTAGTACTTGTACCATGCTTTTGAGTGACCAGCTTGTGATCGCACCAGAGGACATGAAGATGGCAGGATGAAGCTCTCCAAGACTAGTAGCATAGTGATATTATTCTGCTGTAAATTAAAGAATTCCACACATAAATGTAGGTTAGCAAGAAAATCTTATTTGTCCCTGCATCATAGGCTATATGAAGGTCTGGGGCCAGGTCGCATCTAGTATAAGGTGCTTCACTTCTACCAATAGTAGAGAAAGTGAAGCACTTCTGATTTTGAAGATGCTCCTTCCTACATGTCTAAAAACAGCTATGCAAAAAAAGCCAAAGGAAGCAGATGGGAAACCACTCCCACAGTATTAATATTTAGCAAGAGCTGCCACTTTCTCCACTGTGCACAACTCCAGGGTCACTTTTACTACTCAGAAATCAGTTGTGGTGTGAATCTAGTATATCTTAATATTGGATTCTTGGTACCTGTTAATATATCTGAAATGGCATTTTAAAAACTGCAAGAGAGCAAAATAACCTGAAAGGCTGGATTAAAATGTTTCATTTGTTTTGTAGCTAATAGTTACTCTGAAATATTTTATCAGATTACTTTCTGTTGTTTTTGTGAGGAGTTTAGTTATTATTTTTAACCCGTAAGGAAAAGGAGCTTTAAAACTCATTTCATTAACGTAGTTGCAAAATTCATACCTTCACTTACAAAGCTGAATGCTGATGAATCTTCAAGGAAAGTAATTTATAAATCATTGTAATATACTAACAGTTTGAGACCAAAAAAGCATGATGACTACTTCTGTTGAATTATTGGAATATGCGCTAGCTGATAAGTCTCAAAAGATGAAGGGACAGAGATTGGTTTCCTTTATGCAAAGCACTCGGACATTTCTAGAGCTACCCACTTGAATCTTCTTTATTATAAAGGATATATATATTTTATTTTTTTTTTAAGAAATTGTGATTTAAATTAGCTAGTTTCAGCTTCTCATCCAATCCAGATCCACATAGGAGACAAAAGCACTCTGAAGTATATTCATTACAATTACTTGCCTATTGCTGTAAGGTGAATATCAATCTTTGACAATATTGTTATATAAGGCTCTACAATAGAATCTGTATGCAATCTGTAAATACGCATACCTATACACATAAATTACATATTATATATTCAAGTATTCTCTCTGAAACACATAGGCAGTTTGAGAAAATATTTGCTCTAGCAATACATACGCAACAGTGACAAAAGCTGAAAGGAATACATGAATGCGTTGATTTAAGGATTTCTTACAGCCCACTAGGTTCTCTCTTCAACTGCAGCCTCCTGCCTTCATCTTTCACACCTTAAGCACAAGAGAGATTTCTCAAACCAGCAGTATAATTTTCAAAAAAAAAAAAAAAAAAAAAAACCACCAAAAATTTACTATTCACTTAGCCCTAGTGGCAATACGCTAGAATGCACACTGCGTTGATTTGTTTAGCCTGCACAAACTTCTTTTCCAGCATCCCCATGTGGATTTAGTGCTGACTTTACACAAATTTCACTCCAGGTGAGCTTGAACATTTTCCTGCAGTTTAAGGTGTGAAACTGCAGATATGTTCACTCTTCATTAAAGAGCTAACTGCTGTGGTTGTGGTTTAACTCCAGCAGGCAGCTCGATAGCACGCAGCTGCTCAATGAGTCCCTGCAGCAAGATGGAGGAGAGAATCAGAAAAGTAAAAAGCGCAAGAACTCATGGGCTGAGATAAAGACAGTATAATAAGTAATAAATAAATGCACAAGTAAACTACAAAAAACACAACTGCTCTCCACCAGTGGTCCAGTGCCCAGTCAGTCCCCAAGCATCAGTAACCCCACATTTTATTGTGGAGCATGACACTATACGAATGTCCCTTTGGTCACTTTGGATCGGCTGTCCTGGCTGTGGTCCCTTTCAGCTCCTTGTGTACCCTCAGCTTCCTCACTGACACAGAAGCTGAGAAGGGCTTGATGCTGTGAGCACTCCTCTGTAGCAGCTACACCATGGATGTATTACCATTGCTGCTTTCATCACTAACTCAAACCACAGTGCCACTAAAGCGACTAGAAAGAAAATTAACTCTGCAGCAGCCAAACAGTTGTACATCAGAGCAACACTGAACTGATTAAATTCACTGTAAGAGATTACTGTGCTCTTCAGTAAAACTACATGTCTAGGTGGAAAACTAGTTACATTGCCCTGGTGCCTTTCTGCATAGAATCATAGAATCACTAAGGTTGGAAAAGACCTCAAAGATCATCAAGTCCAACTATGACCTAACCATCCTACCCTAACTAACAACCTCCCACTGAATCATGTTCCTGAGCACCACATCAAAACGTATTTTAAACACATCCAGGGATGGTGGCTCAACCATCTCCCTGGGAAGCCTATTTCAGTCCTTAACAACCCTTTCTGTAAACAAATGTTTCCTGTTATCCAACCTAAGTTTACTCTAGTGCAACTTGAGGCCATTTCCCCTTGTGCGAGAAGAGACCAACCCCTCTCTGCTGTAAGCACCTTTCAGGTATTAGAATAGAGCAATAAGGTCTCCCCTCAGCCTCCTTTTCCCCAGACTAAACAGCCTCAGTTCCTTCAGCCTCTCCATTGGGCATTCTCCAAGTCCTTCACAAGCCTTGTTGCCCTTCTTTGGACCTGCTCCGGCATCTCAATGTCCTTTCTGTACTGAGGAGTCAAAAACTGAACACAGTACTCAAGGTGAGGGCTCGCCAATGCTGAGTACAGGAGCATGATGACTTCCCTATCTGCTCTCCACACTATACATGCATACAGCAGAAAGCAACAGAAAACTGCTTTCAAAAAATTAAGCTATTTTCTAAAAATAAATAAATAAATTTTAAAAAAATCCACAAAAAAAACACCACTGATTTCTGACACCTGAAAATTTTAACAACAAATGCCATGAAGTCTTTCGTCTTCAATGCTTCAGTCATCAACTAAATGTCAACTAAATGTGTTGGCTCTCAGAAAAGTGCTTGGAAATGTTCCCCTGCTTTGAAAGAGCCATTTGGCTTAAGGGACTATTGCAGACAATAGGATTTCTTCCTGGTGTTTGAAGTAGCAGCTGCCAGATATTGGCAAATATATTACTGTTGTTGTTGCTTTAAAGAAATTTCCTCATCTGGGGAAAAGACCACTCTTAGCTGCTGCACATAATCTTTTAGCTAATGGTAATCATTCAACTTCTTAACAAAAAAAAATCTATATCTATCTATATATATATGACATAACATTAATTACAACTTCTTGGTTCACTGGCATAATCAAACAAGAAAATCTTCCCAGATTATCAAACCTATACTTTCTTTTTTTTTTTTTTTTTTTTTTTGGGGGGGGGGGGGGGGGGGGGGGGGGGGAGGGGAGGAGGAAAAATAGAATGAGGCAGGAAAGACCAACATCACCATCTGTACAGATGAAGGAGTCAGAAAGCCACAATCAGTTTCAAAACAGACGTTATAAAACTGCAACCAGCTCTCTCTTTGCCAAGTCCAATGTTTGAGTCCAGCAGAGGACTTGACAAAGGGCACTGAAGGTCTGCAGTGGTGACTTGTACCTACAAGCATTAATTTTGCCTTTTGGACTACTATCCTCAAAGAAGACAGACATCACAGTGAAATCATCGATTCACATATGGAATATATGGGTTTCGGTATACTCTGTAAAAAGAGTAATCACAGGATATATTTCCAGCTTTGCACTGAGCATCGTTTTCTTTCCTTCAAGTCCTGAGCAATACAGTTTCTGGAAATACAAAGTGTAAATCACTTGCTGACTGCTTGTACAGCTGTTCATCTGTGTAGATTATGAAAAACTGAAGATCTGTCCAGAATGAAGTGTATGTGTATATTGCACTGGTTCCCAAGGACTTACACATCTCACATCATGAATGACATTTCTTTTAAAAAAATAATGATATTTTAAGCAGTCACGCCTATCCAGAAGAAATTATTCAGAATGAATATACAAAAATCAACATAAATAGGACACTACTGCTTTTTACAGTTCTGTCTAATGACTCCCCACAAAGAAGAATTTTCATACTAAGTCTGTCTCCTGCATCTTCACACAGCACCTTTTGTTTGTACCAGTTTTAGGATTAACAAATGTGATTGTTCTGAGGGACCTACAGTAACATAGGATAAGCGTAGGGACATTTAGCTCATAGGAGAATGAAATAAAATTAAAGAACCATAAGAGAGGACTTCTAAGACTAACTCCCATAGATTTTTTTTTTCTTTTCTTAATTATTACATTCTTCATACAGTAAGAACAGAAGGAGAAATGAATGACCCAGCCTTTCAGCATAGTGGAAAGGAGGCAAGGACATCTATATTAGAAATCCTCTTTAACCACATTGAAATTGCCCATTTTTTTTCCACTAGCAAGTGGAAAAGTAGCATTTCCACTCTTTGAGCTCAGAACCCGTTATAAGGAACAAGAAGTGATCCAAGAAGAAAAATATCCCCCTTAAATAAGGTATTGGTAAGAGAGCACCACACTCAGTCCATTCTTCCACCATGTTTTTCCTCAAGAAACTCAATTTCCTTCTATTCCTATCACTGTCATTTTCATTGTCTCTGTAGTGGTATAGCAATAGTCTTGTTTCAAAAAGCACTTATGTGTCAGGGTACCCCAAAGCCATACAAACCCAACTACAGGAAGAAATAATTTCACTACTCCATGCATCCCATGTCAAGCAAAATAAAGGAGGGTTCATTCTTTGTGTTACTCAAAGACACAGCTGTTCACCTCTTTTGGAAGATTCCTTTCTGTAAAGATTTGCTCACTGCTAATTGAGAAGTACTTCCTTCATTTAAATCAACTTTGTTTGGTTCTTATTTGAAGCCCCACAGTATATTTCAACATTTAGTTCCCACATAGTACGTACAGACATAGCCTCTGATATTGTCTTGTGATCTGGAGTCTGAAACTTGTTATAAAATACTTGCCATTTTTTATAGTATTTGAAAGTGATAATGATTTAGCTGACAACTACTGAAAGCACAAAGGGAACTACCCAAAGCACTAGCTTCCAGGAGTCAAAAGCTTCTCTGGTTCCCAGCCTTGTTAGAGCTTGGGAATTACTTACAGTAACAGATACAGATGCTGCCTCCATGTACCATCCCACCCAGCCGAGAGGCTGATAGCATTTCTTGGATACACATGTACAAGCACACACAAAACCACAAAGTCCAGCATCACCAGCCTTTACACACGTCTCTCTAGGCACCAGCATTACTTATACAGGAGAGAACACAGACAACCCCTACACAGCAGCATTTGCCCCTTTCAGCACAAGCAGAATAGATGAATATCTGAAAGAAAAAAAAAAAAAAAAAAAGGCAAGATTAGGTTTAGGTAAGAAGGTAAGACAGACTCACATACCTAAATGAAAAAACAACCTATTGCTCCTCTCAGTCAAGCATATGTAAGGCCTCCACATAACTTCTTACAGAGTAGAATTCACTTATTCCTAGTTCTGACACAAAATAAACACAAATGTTCTTTTTTCTCTTCGTTAACTTCAGCATGTGTAAACTCAGTTCCTGAGCTGCTATGAAGGCAGTAAGAAGAAATACAACAGAAGACACTTATTTTGTGGCCAGCAACTATATCTTCTCTATTTAGTTTGTACCCTCATGCCACTTCAGGAAACACTATTTATTTTTTCTGAAAGTTAGTGTTAGAGCTTTGAGAAATACCAAAGGATTAGCTGCACCTTTGTAAGTGGAAGAATCTGCTTTTTAATTGCACTTCAAAAATCTCACCCCGTATGACTCATTCCAAAGTTCAGGTCACAACTTTACAACATTCTCTTACATTCCCAAGAAAACGATGCCTCTACCTTACAATCACCCACTTGCAATAGTTTCAGTACATACTGAGATTCCCTTCACACTTCCTGCTGGGATTTTCAGCAATGAAGTTTTTCAGATGTTGAACAGGAACTGAGGGTGAAGACTGATCTAGCATTGCAACATTAAATAAGAAAAAACAATGACCAACTGGTTTGATTTATATGCAAACATACATCACAAAAGTTTCTTTCAGTGCAGTCACAGCACAAGAGAGATTCAAGGAAAACAATGCTGCCACTGCCTGTTGACCTATGAGAAGACAGATGATTCCAGAAATCGTAAGTCATAGAAAGGCTGATGGCTCATGAGGATGCCATTGCTTGCTCCAGCCAACAGCTCTAGGACACTGAGCACAACACAACAAGAAAACAAAAACTTCATTCCATAATGCAACTGGTCTTGCAGTTTCCTCAGGCAGCCCTCCTGGAATAGCTGATCCAGCTGGTTTAAGTCACCCCCACAGTCAACATATTTTTTACAACAGCTTCTAGGAATATGAGATTTTTTGGATGGAAAATGCCAAGAAGCAGCTGATGCCTTTAGCCAGTCTGTATAGTTTTGAAGCCCACAGCACTGGAGCTTTTTCTGGAGCATATCCATAGTCCCGCTTCCATGAGCCAGGGAATTTGTGCCATTGTATTGATTGAAGGCTTGTCCCATTGTGTTCTTCAGCTCAACTGCCATCCAAATAGAGTAGAACTGTGTCAAAACCGCTAAAGACACCTGGAGACAAAGAAGAACTAGCAGCAGGTGCATTAGAGTCCCTTGGTGATAACGGGAGTTCCTTACAGAAACAGAAATAGCCAAAATACCAGTAGGTAGCAGGACTAACGCAGCTACAACAGCCAGCCAGCCAGGGAGAGGAAAGAAAGACTCATGAAAAAAATGATGATAGTTCTTGCACAGCAGGATCACAAAGCATCCACCAAAGGTCAGAACAGTTGCACTTGCCCAGAAAACAACACCAAGGAACAAAAGTAGAATGCGAGCAAACTTTCTGAGTAAAGAGTCCTCGGAGATCCACAGAGACATGCGTGCATTCCTTACTCCCCACATCTTGCTCAGACCTAGCAGCTTATCCCTCACCACCACCATTTGAAAGGCCTCCACCTCACTTCAGCAGGTGCCTCAGATGACATCTCCACCCAAAAACAGCTTGCAAGAGAGCAGGCCTGATAGGCTTCCTTGGTGCAAAGATTAAGTTCTGAAGCAGCTATCTGTGTGTTATTGCTTGTTCAGCATAGTCTGTAGATACAAGGTGGGACTGACTGCCTAGCTTGCTGTTGAGAGGACATGTACTCTGCTATTTTTGGATGTAATTTCACTGAAGGGGAAGAGTGGTTGAAAAAAAGAGCTGAACTTTTTGTTTCATTACATTTATGTGTTAAACATCTGAAAATAGGTAAACAACCAAGGTTTGGCCAACAGTGCTGGGTCAGATCACTTAGATTACCCAAGTGATAGAGCAGATTCAACTGTAAATCCTTACAGCAGTAGCCAAAATGGCAACAAATGCACAAGTCAGAGTCATTAAGGAAATAATTATTTAAGCAGAGCTATTCAATCAAGGATCTCTGTAGGTAACATGTACCCAGACTCATTATCCTTCCCAGTACGTTTACCACTCATTAGATTTGATGAGGGGCATAATGATGTTAATAATATTTTGCCCTTTTTTACTCAGCAAGATTTCTGCACAGATAGCATCAATTACTCAAGACACCTGGATGAGAAATCCCTACTTCTGCATTTGCATGCTCTCAGTTTGCGTCACCAGTGATTGAACTGAGAGCTGTAATGACTGAATACAATCAACAGTAAGAACTGTATTAACTTTTCCTTATGTGCAAAGAAACTGAATTACACACAGGCTAAATGACTTCACAACAATCACAGAGGGAATCAACGTCACTTAGCCAGCAGAAGAGTATTATTTCTCAAAAGTTATACAGAAGAGAGAAGTAGGATGAGGAGCCAGTATAAAGCTTGCCACAGGTGCCAGCAATGTATATCTAAGGCCAAAAAATGTCTCCCTAATTTTCCTGAGGAAAAAAAAAAAAAAAAAGATGGTATTTCCATTTTCTTTCTCAAAATGCAAAACAGGGCTTGTGCAATAGGCTTGCATAAGGGAGAATGCAGACAGAACTCATTTTCAGAAATGGGAGCAACTGAAGAAGACCAGAGTTGGTATTCGAATATCTGTAACTATGAAAAGTCTTACAAAACTTGATGAGTGTACATCCAGAAGATGGTTCGTTTGTAAGGACCTGTTGCTGTTCTGTATGCTACGTATATGCCCATCTTGTACTGATCCCCATGAAAATGTCTTTTCGTGTGCTGTCAAATATGTCATTATTTTGGAATTAAATAACGATACTCCCTGAAAGACAACGACCACCTTTGTCTGAGAAGGGGCAAAGAGAAACAATTTCCCCTCACATTTATTTATTCTCCTATGAAGAAAGATTGAGGGAACTGGGCTTGTTTAGCTTGGAGAAAAGAAGGTTCTGGGGAGACCTCTTTGTGGCCTTCCGATAATTGAAGGGAGCATATAAACAGGAGGAGGAATGGCTGTTTATGAAGGTGGATAGTGGTAGGACAAGAGAGAATGGTTTAAACTGAGACAGGGTAGCTTTAGGTTAGACATTATGAGGAGAATTTTCACACAAAGGGTGGTGATGCACTGGAACAGGCTGCCCAAGGAGGTTGTGGATGCCTCATCCCTGGAGACATTCAAGGCCAGCCTGGGCAGCCTGGTCTGGTGGTTGGCCACCCTGCATATAGCAGGGGTGTTGAAACTAGATGGTCTTTGAGGTCCTTTTCAACCCAGGCCATTCTATGATTCTGTGATTTATACATAAAGACAACACAAACTGAATGTTTTCACAGACCAGAAGAAACATCAGAAAAGAGACAGAAAAACATGGTGGAGAATAAGAGCTTCTTACTGCTAGCTCACAAGCTTTGAGGAAAGAGCACACAAACCTGCTTATTCTCTTTTCTGCCTTGCCTCATGCTTATAAAACTTAATGAGATATTAAGAACTGAGTTACAACACTATTTACTTCTACCTTATTCTGCAGTCTCTGAAATACATTAGAAAGGCTCAGACTGCCTATAGGATAATTTTACTGCACCTCTTGTTCATTTCATCCAGAGTAACTGCTGGCCTTCTCTCCATACAGACGAGAGAATTATAATGCTTATTGAAGCCTAGAGGCTTTTATCTTTCTAAATATTCCTCAATATATAATTTCCTATTTACTTGAATATGACTCTTTGGACTACTGTGAGGTTTTTTATTTCTTTCTTTGCAGATTGCAGACACAAGATGGTGTGAACAGTGAAGTGGACCTTCAGGACAGGAGTCTGTGCCACTGCAGGCTCTCCTCCATCCTCTGGTTATCTCCACCATTCCATGAGCCAGAATTTTGGTGGCAACGTGGGCAGACAGAAGGAGGATCCACGTGGCTGCCCATCCGCCATGTCAACTAGAAATGCCTGCACTGGATGTCCACTGTCAAGGGGAGAGTCCTCAATGCCCAATGCCAGTATAAGAGGGGAGGCCTCACACTGGCTGCAGCTCCTCACAGGGATTGGAAGGCAGCACAAAACTCTGCTGTCTGGGGACACAAAGAGGGCCAGAGGATACTGCATGGAGCTGTGTCAGAGCAGAGTAAGGGGGAGTTAGGGAAAGGCTTTGCCCCAGAGGGTGGAGGGCATGGAACAGCTCTGCAGGGCAGTGGGTAATGCCATGAGCTGCCGGAGTTCAAGAAGCATGTGGACATAGCTCTCAAATATAACATTTGGATTTGGAGTGGTTCTGTATGAAGACAGGAGTTGGACTCCATGACCCTTCTGAGTGTTTTCCAACTAAGGATATACTATTATCAGAAGTTCATTTCTGCTTAGAAATTTTGTCTGCATTTGCAGCGAAAATTTTGGCTAAAGTAGAGGAGAGAGTGCAACATGACAAAGAGACTGTGTGTGAGGCAGTTAGGAGAGCTCCTCTGTATTCTTTCCAGTGATAAACAATATAACATGATAAATATCATTCCTGCTTTCTCTGGAGTTTTTTTCTGCTTACAAACTGATGAATATTGAAATTCAAATGAGGGTTTAATAGAGAAACTACTTTGTGGTTTGTTGCTGTAAGTATAATTTTTCAAATAAATAAAAAGTCAACTGTGTACTCTTTGAATTCATCGACTAATTGTTCTAGAAAAACATGACTGATATTGAAAAGTTCAGATAAGCTAGGAAGATCAAAGTAATTTGTCCCACGTGGGCCTGGGATCCAAGAGCTATCGAGTCAACAGTGTGGTTGTACAAATGCAGTGCAAGCAGGTGACTAGCATCATAGAATATCCCAACCCATAAGGATCATCAAGTATGTTGAGGTCCTCAAGTGAGGACATCTAAACTTCTGTTGCAATGTTCAAATCAAGATGAGCAGCAAGTCCATGCAGATGTGCAATAAAAACAAACCTGAAGGCAAACATGGGAGTCAAGGCACCAGTAGACATGCTCTTCTAATTTTCATGCAAATCCCAAAAAAAAGAGACAGGATCTTAAAATCAGACCCTCATCCACTGCACACTTTGTCACAGCAACAGAGAAAAGCCCTAAAACTGCTTCAGAAAAACAGCTGGCATTTCCCATGGAACCCACTTTCACATGAAGGTGTTGTTACCTTGACCCTGTGATGAAGTTAAATTACTCTCAAAGAAGTTTATCCTTAGAGATTACAACCTTTTTTTAAGATCTTGTTATATTAAAGCATGTTCATTTCTAAGCCCTGTCTCATTTATAAGAAGCATGGCTGGGGTAGTTTAGTTACAGGAACCCAATGGATTATCAGAAGAAAAAGAGGAAAGAATAGGATCTGACCCTAAATCCTTACCAAAATGCAGGCTGTATGTCAACTTTACCTACCTCAGCTTTTATATGTCCACCCTGTCCACTCCTTGGCCTCATCAGCAGGTGGAAGATGGTCTATAACCCAGCAGGGCTAGCTGATCAGGAAAATGTGGTAAGAAGGTATCACAGGTATTGCTGCTCTCTTCACTGATCCTGACCCTAACTGCCAGCCATGATAGTGTATCCTTACCAAACTGAAGAGATTTCACAGGCAGTTCTTCCAGTTTCCATTCCTGGCTGGATGCAAAATGATAGCAAAGAAACTGTAATATTTGGAGGGGGGGAAGAGAGCGGAAGGAAGCCACTTTTGAATCTTCTCAGTCAGATCATTCAAGGAATGATGGATAGTGAAAACAGCACACAACAGAAGGACTGGGTACCAAGCAGAAAGCTGTTTTTAAAAAATCTGAAAGCTGTTAAATCTATTGGCTCACTGGGAATAAAGCGCATTATCTTATGAGACATGCCATATTACGAGAGCACTCTGACAGCCCGAATGCAAAAAGGATGAACAAGCCTAGCTGGACCCAGATCCTATGGTCTGTGCCTTGCACTATCAGTTGCTATGGTAACCACAGTCAGATGATGTTGCCGTGCATGGGACTAATATCTTCCATGGGAAGCTTGAAACAAGCAGAAGAGATACGATTGCCACCTCTTATTCATGGAGAAAATGTACTCCACAAAAACTGATTTGCCATTGTGTGGGTGTTCCCACTAAAGCCAGTTAGATATTTTTACACACATCTCTTTGCCCAACAAAAAGTGGCCTGTCCTGTAACTGAAGAACCACATCAAATTATTTCCAGGCTTCTAACTGATATTGCTTTTAACATACCATATTTTCACTAATATTGAAAATACTGAAATCAAATGACAAAAGGCTTTTCTTCTGAAATGAATGCAGTGAAAAATTACAACATTTTGCTTTTCTTCCTCTTCTTTTTTCCTAGCTTCCTTTTGTTTGCTAGTCTGGAATTTCTGTAAAATGTCTTAGAACTGAAATGAATTCACACCAGCAAAAACTAAGAAAAAAGCAAATAACAGCACTTTCTATATTTCTATCGCATTGGCACTTCAGAAGTTGGAGAATATTTTAAAAGACATGAAATGGAAAAAGACAAAAAGGAAATTAAAACGAGAAGGAAACGTCTGTTCTCTTGATGTCCTTCATTATATTGTAGTCGGTGATAAAAACAATTTGG